CGTGACTGCAGTCGACTTTACCAAAATAAACAATATTGTTTTCTCTCCAAACAAAAAAACAAAAAAAAAGAGGGGGGGGAGGTTGGGGGAGGCCGTTGAATTAAAAATGTAACGATTTACAAGGAATCTGTTACGTAAATATGCAAGGAAATTACTTTCCAATTACTCTAGCAAATTTGTAATTATTCCGTTACAAAATTACTGAGAACTCTAAGGGAGAACAAGTAATTTCGTTACTTGTAACGGATTAAGTATACGTCTGATCCACATATCATCGCTCTGGTTGCGTGCTCAATTAATATGTCATCTTGTTTGTGTGAGTCGTCTGTCGTGTGACTTTAACCGAAAAGAAAAATTAGAAAGGCTTTATGCAGCCGCGGAAAGAGGAACAACTTCGAGTACTGCCAGTCGAATTCGTTCAGACCCAATTTTTTGGTCATCAAAAGATTTGCTCTCGTCAGTCAGGGCATTTGTATTTTTTGCATATTTTTTATATTAATATAAATTCATATTTATGTCATGCTCACAGGAATACAGAAAGGGTTTGGGGTTGCCGTTGCGCCTTTCATAAATATTAATTTCTTCGGACCGGAATAACCGTTTCTCGAAGAAAACGCAGATGAGGAGTATACATACTACATAGAAGGGCTTGCTTGTCCTTATTCTTTTATCGCAATTAGTAAACGGATACAAGCAAATTCACCACAATGGCAGCCATGCGATACTACGATGCTAATTCTCAAAAAAAAGGCTGTTTCTCTTGTGGGCTCTTACGCCGTCCGAGTGCCACCGCGCACACAATTATCATAAAAAAAAAAAAAAAAGAGGAGAATTGGCAAAAAAACGCGGGTTTCTTCAATGTCTATTCTACGCACCCAGACCACGAAAGGTCAATGCGAAGATATTGGTTCTTTTGTCACAACTCTGATTACTGTATGAGATGAAACCATTACATCAAATTACCGCAGTTCACATCGCGAACACAGTAATCGCGCTTTTCCGTCACGAGCAAGCCGAGGTCATCTGGAAGCGCTGTCAATATAAAATACGTTCTATGACCGCCTTTCGAAAATGACATCAAATAAAACATAAAAGTTTAGAAATCTATGCATATTGGAAGTGTTCCGGGACTGCTTGATAGATGGCACAAGTGTGGTCTCTCATCACAAGTGTTCATAACCAACCTTGAGTGCGAGCTAAGCTGTGCATGAGGCGTGAGCGAGGTGAGCATCGTCCCCCAGGAGGACCATGACCAGCCCGTTTGGCGCCCAGTTCAACCCACGTGCACCTGAAGGACGGTCTGTACGTCTTTGTAGTCGTCGGAAGCGAATCCCGGACAAAAGCTCACCGGACAAAAGCTCGCCCATTTTTTAACAGACCCGGACAAAAGCTGACCAGGAGAAAATTTCACGTTGTCTTATGGGGATACCAAGTTTAGATAAACAAAGTTTAGAGAAAAAGGTGATGAGCCTCTTTTTAGCGAATTCGGACACCGCGAAGCAGCGTGTATGGATAAGTCAGGTGAGTTAACGTTTTTGTAATGAGCCGCCGCAGACTGCCACCGCGAAGCGGCGGGAGCGCGGCAGGGGGCTTGGGTTAACGCGCGCACCAGAGATACACACGCGAAGTAGAAAAGCCTTTTTTAAATAGCGTCCCCTTTTTCGATAAACGGCATTTCTCTAAACTGAGGCTCTGCTTTCTTTAAACCGTGCTTCAATACAAAGTGCCCGTTCTCTAAAACGTGTTTCGACGAAATGGCATTCGATCAACCGTGGTAAACCCTTGCGTGGGATGGGGTACAAGATCACCTAAAAATGTTGAAATGTCCATCGCGTCCGCATTTTATTTCAGCCCGTGTTTCGCCCGCGTAGAAAAAAAAAAAAAAAAGAAATGAGGTGAGCTTTTGTCTGGGTCTGTGAAAAAACGGGTGAGCTTTTGTCCGGTGAGCTTTTGTTCGGTTACCGCGGAAGCAATTGGGTGAGTGAGTTGTGGGCCCTTCCAGAAACAGCCAGGGCTTTTACATAAAACGTTCAGCCTTTCCACTCTCGTGAAGAAGGAAAACCAGCGAAGCTGTACTATGGTGGAAATTAAGCATTTATAAATGTAAGGAGTAAGGTCTTATTGGGTAATTAATTGGTTATGAGAGAACCGTATTATCCCCGGTTGTCTTCGTTATACCACGTCAACCGCTGAAGGCTCATGAACGGGAGTCGAGGCGCCATATAGTCGGTCCTCCACCGACCTCGGTAGGTGCTCCGGTACGGGTGGGTACTTGTAGCCGTTCACAGTCGCGAACCGGGGCACCGCGACTTTGAGCAGTTATTCTCGGCACGTTCTATACGCCGGTTCTTTGTAGACGTCTGCCGACTCGACAGACTGCCGCAACGTGCACGCGCCAATTTCCCGACTCTTCTCGTCCGACACGCCGCCGATCGTTTCCGGCGAACCAGAGTCGGTCACCCACGGCGCACGGGACGCCAAACGGGTTCTCCACGAACTCCCTCAGGAGCCGTCAAAACAACCCGAAAGCCGTGGTAGTTATAGTGCGATTTGAAATAAATTTGGTCGTTTATTCGAAATATCAAAAGAAAAACACAAGTTATAATTTGCGATTAATTCTTTTCCAATGACTGGTAGTTTTAGCCACTACGTTCCATGAGGCGCGGGATAATGATTACGAGTTTGGAAGTTAGTGGACTGGCGAGAGGTGCGCATAGCCATCGGGGAGCCCGTAGTCACCAGACCGCAGGTACGGGCACTGCGGTGCTATATAACTACACTCAATTAATCGTGAATGGACCCTTTAAAGCATTCAATTCGGTCAGGCCCCCATGGGTTGGTATTAGGAAATGAATCGACCTTTGTCCTATTATTTTCTAAACAATAAAGTGCCTCTGTACAACGTGTGCTGAGCAGCTCTACATAAACTGCCTCTTTCTCGGCTTTCCCTGTTGTTCAAAGGCTTCTTCGTAGTAAGTGCACACGCGGTGCTATGCTGTATTCTTTTTTTTTTTAAGTTTTCGTTTACTTTACGTTGCATTGTGGCTGGAGAGATACAGCGCGTGTTGAAAAGCAAAATGTTCGAAATATTTTATTTTGCTCGAAAACTAAAAAAAAATATGCCGAACGAAAAAAAAAAAAAAGCGATACGGAGCGTTTATGTTGGCGGTATCACAAAACGGTAGCCTTTGAAGTTTAATTTACTCAGCGGGACAATGCTCGCGCCATATGTCACTCGCAGTCGCCTCGTCGACGTGCCGCGGCAGAGTGGAGTCCCTCCAGAAAACGGGGCCCGGCATTATGTCATTACAGCGCTCGATCCCATTATCCCCTCGTCGCTTCACCCCCAGATCAAAGTACGGCTCCAACTCGTTGGATTACAAAAAAAAAAGAAAGAAAAAGAAGAGAAAGATTCGAGGTGAAAGAGCCGTCCACTCGAGGCCCCCCAAAACCCGCTATCATCGAAACTCAACGCCACCTCCGGTCACACCGCCAACTGACGCATCCAGTGCAGCAGAAGACCAGGGCAGAGACCGAATAGCAGACGACACATCCTTCAAGCCTCGACGCTCCAGCTTCCACCCACTTGAAATTGCTTAGTCAGTGGGGCCTCCAAAGGGGGTTACCGAGAGAAGGGAAACGTTGTATCAGGGTGTGGAGAGGAGGGAAGGAAAAAGAGAGGAAGAGGAGGGGATCCAGTCCCGAAATGGCGACCGAAGAGTCCTCTCCCCGTCCAAACGCAGTCATGGAGCCTCATTATGTCGGCGACGCCGTCGTTGCAGACGACGGGATGCGGGCCACTCGGCAATATGGCGCCCTTTCATTCATGGGAAAGGGGGGCAAAGTGACGCCGTTTTGGACGTGATGGAGCGGGAGGAGTTGGTCATTGTGGGCCCTCCGTCGGGTCCTGGCCATTATGCGTCGTCCCGGCAGGACCAAGTGGGGATGTTATGACGAAATGGGGGAGGAGGAAGAGAGGTCTGCGTGACGAGGACTGCTTTTGACAGCTGCCGCAGCGGCGACAGCGGGCGGTGGACGCAGGGCGCAGTTTTGGACAGTGTGGGAAAAAAAGAGGTTCCCCTCCGGACGGAAGCTGGCTTCTGGGGCTTGCAAACTCCCGAGTTGTGACACCGATAGCGGTCCTCCAGTCAGCCCAAAACAATTAGCCAAAATTTCATAAAAAAAAAAAGAATTATGTTTTACTAACTGGTTTGTGTGCATTTCGAATAGAGGGAGTTTTAGCGAGTCGTTTTGACACACGAACGGTTCGTCCTCGAACGCATCGCCGACGCCACTGCGCGTGCGCGCGCTGTTCGTTGGGAGCTTCGGGATGTGCTTCTTGTTCGTTCCTCCCCCTCCGGCCGCTGGAGTCGGTACCGCGAAGCAGCTACAACCGTTGACGACTCGGGAGAGACGATGGCGGTCGGATCGGCGACTGACTTCGCCGGTCCAGCCGAGCGTATTAAGGCTCGAACTAAATCATCTCGAGAACTGCTCTCGATGGTAAGCGATCGCGACTGCTGTAGACTACGCATGTGAGTAAATTTTCGTAATCCAGGCAAACGAGCCGCCGCGGCGACCGCGAGCATACGAATCGATTTGGTTCGACGTCACACAGCGTGAACGATCGTTCAAGTTCTAGATGGCGGTCACACTTTTGACCCTATCTAGATCTGGAGCTCTTGAAATTCCGACCGGTAAATGCCGTCTTGTTTACATCAGTCGTACGTACGCCGTGAAACTCGAGCCCCGTACGCCACTGGTTTGCACGCTGCAGTGCGTTTCAGATGTTTACTAGAAGATGGCGCTCACGGTCTAACTCAATCATCATCGTCGTTTACGTGGTTGCGCGAGTTTTACGGTATGATAAAGCACGTTAAATTTTACGTACGGTTTCACGGAACGGAACAGTTGCGCCGTACATAATTTCGCAACCGTGTGCTCCGAAAACGACTAGCTAAAAATACGGCTACACCCCGAACGTCTGAAAGCGTGCTTACCCGTCGCAGGCGAATATGCCGTAGTGCTTGCCGGACGAGTGGTCCAGGCACACCTTGCAGGGGATATCCAGCAGAATGCGGCCTAGAAGAGAAGACAAAAAGATTGCTGAACTCCTTTCTCATATTCGGAGATCGAGAAATGAGCATGCCATTCACCAATTCATTGTGAGTATTCACCAGCGTAATTCCGTCCCCGTTTTGTTGTTATTATTCAGAGGCGATTTTAAAAATAATACTTGGCGGGGTGGGGGGGGGGGGGGGGAGGGGGGGGGGGCAGCGCACCCCTCCCCTTTCCCCCCCTAAATCCTCCGCTGTTATAAATTGTCTGGCGCGGGCCGAAGGCGAACATTCCAACGATTCCCGAGACATCTTTGAATGCGTACACAGTGAGGATGACCCTGAGAACCTGAGAAGAGATAACGGAAGTATATAGAAACCCGGCAACTCTAAAGCGCGGCCCCAGAGACAATGCAGAGACAATTACGTGAAAATAAGACCATGACATGAGGTTTGATTTCCCGCAACGGCTGGAAACGATCTTGCTCATTCAAGACATATGATAGACTCCAAACATTCCTTAATTCTTGCCAGATTTATTCAGCAGCCTTAGCAATACAAACCGACGCTGTTTCATATTTAGCAAGGGTATAGGTTGAAACGATGATTGGCCTTCCCTTTCACCAAAGACATTCTATATGACTTCCACTCAAGAACCGCCGCCCTTGCGGAAGCAACCGGCGTTCCCTCGAAACGACACTTCTCGTCTCGTCGTTCCCGAAACTCGCCATCAAAAACCAGAAAGACGCACCGACTGCAGGTGCCCTGACGCGGATTCCCCGCAACGGCATACACGGTCACGATGAATCCTTCCGAGCACGGGCGTAAACTTCTTCCAAAGAACTAAAGAGCTCGTGTCATTCTACGGACGCTGTCACCTCCCAGTTAATAGGACGGTCGGTCGGTCGGCGCCGCCGCGTGAAACACGTTCACTGAGGAGAAGAAATAGCTGGGTTTTTAATGACGCCGCGGAGTGCAAGGGAAAGAAAGACTTCTCGGACGACTCCGATAATAAGGACTGTCTGTCTCGTCGCGAGCAAAGGCGCCGAACGACTGACGCGAACATCGAAGCCGAGCCGCGTGGTCCTCTTCTTTCAGACCGCTCAAAAGCAAACTTTTATCAAAGGTATAAGATGCGTGACGCGCGCCGGGGTTGTGGGGGTGGCCGTAAATCAGAAGTCGCTTCAGAGCAAGCGCCCGCGCTCTTCCCATTGAGAGGCTCACGACACCCCTGCGGACCGTCTTCAAAGACACGACGAACACGCTGCAGAGAGGACGACACGATGGCTTTTCACGATAATGTGGCGCGTGAAAGGACACCAAAACAATTTAAGCCGCCACCCCCACACATTCACACCGCGAGGATATATATATATATATATATATATATATATATATTACACCAAGTTGAAGTTTCGTATTCGTCGGAAGAAGCAAGAAAAAAAAAATAAAACAGACAGCACCGGTGACACGAACTCTACCGAAGAAAGCTCGACACCCCACAAGCCGCATTATACTAAGCTCGTAAATTCGAATACACAGCGCCCACTCTTTTGTCAAGTCGTGTGATTACTACTAGTAAAAAAAAAAGAAAGAGAATAAAAAAAAAGCATATATATCTCCATATATGTGTGTGCCGCGTTTTTTGTTTGTCTATTTTTTCCACAACTTGGCGCGGGTCTATACTCCGTGTAATGAATATACGCACCCGAGCGCGTCATAAAACGTCCGACGCTAACAACGATTGAAAGGAAAACGCGTAAAAGTTGTTGGAAGGCAGATACTTACCGGGGGGCGTCTTTCGTTTCCACGAAGATAGGCGAGCAATTAAAAACGCGCTTCCGTAATTAGCGGTCGAATAATTAACGAGCCGCGAGTTCCTCCAACCACATTTACGCCACTGCGTTCGCTAACGGGAACCAGCTCCCGAATAAACAGCCGCAGGTGCTCGGAATTGTAAAAAGGCATTTTCGAGTGGTCGGACAAAGACAGGGCGTCGTGCCGCGGTTTGCTTGGTCAATATTGGCGCCGTTTGGCCGCCGAAAATAAAAAAAAGGGGGGGGGGGGGGGGCGCTAACTGAGCAAACTGTTTGCCATTGTGAGGAGCCAGACGCTCTTCTATTACACGGTGATGAGTTTGGTTTATTGACTTTTTGATGCTTCTCAAACAATCGTAAATCTTTTTTTTTTTTTTTTCTTGAGAACATGAGGGGTTAACAAAAAATTTTGGATCTTGTTGCGTAAAGTATTTCGGGGTAAGGAAGAAACCCGTAATTAGGCGAATAAAAATATTAATGATGAAGCTTGAGTGTTTTTTTTTTTGTTTTGTTATTGTGTTAGACTTGCAACAGCTCGCCTGCGTCCTAAACCTTTATGTGTTAGCGTTTCGAGCCAAAGCCCCTGACTTATATGTTTTGCCAGTATTTTAAGTTATCTTAAGTCTTTTTGTTTTTATAGGATGCCAGCTTAGATGTGAAAAAAGTAAGCGTTCTTTTTTATTTATTTTTTTGGTTTTTGGTTTTAGTGACTGTCGACTGTTGCAGTACCAACGCATAAAATATTAGAAGAAAAAACATGCGGGTCTTTTTGCTTCATTCTATATGAAGGTGTCACGCCACGTGCCCCGAACCTTTTTTATTTGAAAAGAAATCAGGTTTAAAGGGACCATGAAATGACTTCTTTACTTTTTCCAGATAACTTTTACAATAAACCGTCAATGTTCACTGAATGCCGAACAGGCATCCGTTTTCCTCTCGGTTTATTAACTTCTACACAAAAAATTAATGAAATATTGACTTTTTCTTGACCGCAAAACAAGCCGTGACGTACGATGTTTCCGGAACCGGAAGTTCTCTCTGCAGTAGGAGATGGGAGCGTTAGCGAGTTGGGGTGCGCCGGTGGGTTTTACTGCGCCGATGTCACCGACGTATTTTCTGAATCGGCGCCTCTCATCGCCGCATCGCAGCTGAGCGAAATTCAATGAGATACGTTGCGCTACAGCGACAGCATGGGACTAGTCCCATACGCCGGTATGCCTGTTGGGAAGTGCAGATGGGAACAATTTGCCGCGGCGTTTTTCGCGGTCTCGGAGATGCAGGAGCGAGCCGACGTTAAAAAAGATACGTTTGAACTGTCAGCAAGAGCCACGTAAATACCTGTTCACACTCGGAGCGGACGCGCGCGTTTGATGAAGTGCTGTATTCGCGCTGTTGGTAAGCGCTTCGGGACCGATCTTTTACAATTGCAACTCGATACTGACGCGACACTCGGCAAAGAAAGGTTGGACCGGTATTGCACGTATACCTCCCACGAACTGTTACAGCTCGACAGTGACGTGCAGTCTGTCAGAATAAAAATGGCATACCAATAACAAAGTGTACATACCGTGCTACGAAGGTAATCCATACAGCGTTTATTTCAGCTCTAGATCACACAAAACAAGGAGAGGATCGACGAGGGTCCCTTTTCGACGAGTGTTCGTCAACACTGCCTCGGAAAACAAGGGGAAGAGATTGACCTCACCTCTTAACCTAAAATTGAGGTCAGCGATCAAACTATTATACGGGAAGGGTCCACAAGGGTACCCCACAAGGGTAGCGCGGGCATATTCCATTCAGCACGCCAGCCGGTCGCAGGCAGACAGACGGTCTTGCGACGAAGCAACGCTGCGCCAAGTCGGAGTGCCTGCTAGGCCTATATTGTGAGAGCTTCGTCGGAGCGGGATTCGCGGCTGTTGTCGCTCTTCTCGGGTGTTTGTGGATCCAGCGTTCTTGTTCGTCGTGGTTTGTTTTAAGTACATTTCTTTCTTGCTGCTTGAAGTCGGCACGCGCGAGATGAACACGTAGAAAAATAAACGTTCAGTCAGTCAGAGTTTTGAGAGGAAGGAAACCAAAGGAAATAACCGTTCTGAACTTGGCCCTGCCCTACTGCGCACGCGCAGTAGTTGCTTCGTTTACCACACGATAGATGGCGCTTGGCTCTCAGCATTATCAAATTTGGCAATTTTCGCCACACATCTCTAATTATGCTACAAAATGTGGATCTGAATATTATTTAACAAAACTTTTAGGAAACATTCGCCGGCTATTTATTGTTTACGATCGCGGTGCTGGTGAGGTAGGCTCTTACCCAATAGGCGATGTGGATTCGTCTGACGTGCACCGTTTCTGCGTATGCATCGTAGTGAAAAGGCAGAGCTTTCGAAGGAAAGAAGTCGCAAAAGAGTCCAGTTTTCTTTTAAAAGTTCTATAGCAAATAATTTTTTTTGGCTCCCTAGTCTTGTGTTTTTGTGTTCCTTTTCACAGCTTTTACGACGTGCGGTGGATGAAATTCGATTTTAAAATCATTTCATGGTCCCTTTAACCAAATGCTCTCCTCCATCCCTGGCCGCCATAGCTATCGGCATGACTTGGATCAAAGCTGTTCTCGACAAAGGACACATTCCTTTTCCCATACCTACTGTTTATAATGGTGGTACATAAAAATGAATTCTTGTTCTTGGAACATTTTATAAAAAAAAGTTGCTGTATTTACCCTTTCTGCTCTTCCTGCCTGAGTCATTCAATTGGTCTGCAGTATGCAATGAATAAATAAAACTGTAAATAATAATATCCTTAATTGCTTACAAAAAGTAACGTGATAAGACCCCTAGTTCGGTACAATCAAACTGCCCAGTGGTGCCGGCTTACATCAGTTCCATGCTACTTCAGCAATTGAGGGAAGCACGCGACAAAATTCGATATATTATTTACGGCTACGTCGAAATTGGCCACGGTGGACGAAACGCAGTTCTATGCTGGAAACCGTTTGGACATCAATTGTGGAGTGATCAAGGACGGGAGATGAACCCTTTCTCCGCACTGCATTATAAGAGGCTAACACGATGATAACAGCGAGAAAGTGTTGAATCATCGTATATGTACACTGGATTATCAAAGTCACGAGAATGATATCCTATCTATGCTGTTCGCCTCGAGATTCAGACTGAATTCGGGGGAAGCGTGTTCTTGCTTATCCATGGTTCTG